TTCATGGGTGTAGGGGTTTTGGGGTTTAGGGTTTAGGGCTAGGGTTTAATTAGGGTTTAGGGTTTAGGTTTTAGGTTTTAGGGTTTAGGGTTTAGGGTTTAGGGTTTAGGGTTTAGGGTGTAGGGTTTAGTGGTATAAGTAGGGTTGTAAGCAATTCTAGTAGCTATACTCCTAACCCTATTCAGTGTACTTAAAACTCGAATCCTAACTGCCTTCACCTGAAGGGTTCAGGGTCAGGGTTTAGACCCCCTAGGCCCTAAACCCTGAACCCTAGCCCTAAACCCAGCTACACCCTAGCCCTACACCCTAAACCCTGAAAGGGTTCAGGGTTTAAGGCATTAGAGTAGGGTTTCAATATCAGATGCGGTACCACAAGAATGATTCGTTTAGAGTTGTTGTAATCCGTAGTGACTGCCACGGTGGCCGTACATAAGGTGCCCCCCTCAACCCTAAACCCTCAACCCTAAACCCACAATCCTCAACCCTAAGCCCTAAACCCTACCTGGGAACTCCCCAATCTGCAGCTGGCGTTAAGCCAGTGAGACTGTAGCGACTTCACCGAGACGAGGCGGATGCCCATGTCATTTGCATCTCACGAAGCGTAGCTGCATAAACCCTACAACCTAAATCCCTTAACCTTCTGGGCCCTTAACAACTAACAAGTATCCTTTCCCTCTCTGAGCTATCCCCCCGCACCCCTGGTACCCTTATTGGGGGAAATCCGGGTCTAGCCGGGTTTAGGGCTTAGGGTTTAGGGTTTAGGGTTTAGGGTTTAGGGTTTAGGGTTTAGGTATACAATCATGTTAGCCGATGGCACAAGGAGTGCAGCTTTGCTGGTTCCGGGTGTTTGTTTTCAGGGCCTTCGTTGAACATGTTGGGTGCTGCTTCGGCCTTTTTGGCTCTGGCAAGCTTTCAAGTTTAGGGTTTAGGGTTTAGGGTTTAGGGTTTAGGGTTTAGGGTTTAGGGTTTAGGTATACAATCATGTTGCGCGTCCATCTGCTCTCCGGGGAAGAGGTGGCCAGCGTGCCTGCGGAGGAGGTGAGGACCGTGAGGGAGCTGAAGCAGCGGCTGCATGAGCTGCATGGCCTGCCCCCTCGCTTCCAGCAGAGGCCTAAACCCTAAGCCCTAAACCCTAAACCCTAAACCCTAAACCCTAAACCCTAAACCCTAAACCCTAAACCCTAAACCCCCAAACCCTAAACCCTAAGCCCTAAACCCTAAACCCTAAACCCTAAACCCTAAACCCCAAACCCTAAACCCTCAGAGGCTCATCCTCCACGGCGCCAGTCTGGATGATGCTCACGAGCCGGACTCTCCCCTGGACCTGGAGCTCGTTCTGCAAACTTTAGCCGCTTCCGGGAAAGAAGCGGACGAGCTTGTGGCCGCCGCCGGAGATGGCTCGGTGGCACAGGCAGGGTTTAGGGTTTAGGGTTTAGGGTTTAGGGTTTAGGGTTGAGGGTTGAGGGTTGAGGGTTGAGGGTTGAGGGTTGAGGGTTGAGGGTTGAGGGTTTAGGGTTTAGGGTTTAGGGTTTAGGGTTTAGGGTTTAGGGTTTAGGGTGTAGGGCACTCCGGGAGCCCCCTTAAAAACCCTAGACTGACCCTTGAAACCCTCAACCCGCAACACAGGGGGTATAGGTCTGAGCAGAATTACAAGCCTTGTAAATCCACAACAAGCACAGACACTCGTGGGCCCCCAAGTCTGCCCCAGAGAACCTACAACTAGACTTTGCATCAACAAACGTTGCTTCGAACCAAGGTGTGCGGATCCGAACTCAAAGGGTTTAGGGTTTAGGGTTTCGGGTTTAGGGTTTAGGGTTTAGGGTGTAGGATTTAGGGCGTTCCTAGCCCGGCTTTGGCCCCAAGCAAAGAGAGTCCAATCAGGGTTTAGGGTTTAGGTTTTCGGTGAGCCAAGCGGAAGCGCGCTTTCTCACCGCGCATTATTCTGCAGACCTACCCGCCTCAAGACCGCCCACTTAAAGCACTCATGGATTTAAGACCCCCCGTTTTTTTCAAAGCAACATGTACTTTTGACGCCGCAAACTTAATTCAGCCCCGAAGAGTTGCGACACAGGGGTCGCTTGGAGCACTTGGGACACATGAGTCGCCATCAAGGGCTTCCAAGGGGCCTTCCAGGGGGTCGCTCAGAGAACTAATGGAAAAATTGGGAGTTTCCCAGGGCTTTTGCGTTTAGGGCTTAGGGCTCAGGGTTTAGGGTTTAGGGTTTAGGGTTTAGGGTTTAGGGTTTAGGGGAAACTTGGGTGGATGGAAGCGCCCGGCAAAGGAACCCCAAAAAAGACTTGAGTTGGGTGGCAGGCGGGTTTAGGGTTTAGGGTTTAGGGTTTAGGGTTTAGGGTTTAGGGTTTAGGGTACAGGGCACTCTTGACAGTTTAGACGCTAAACCCTAAACCCACTTCCCAGTCGTCGGAAATCTCCAGGTGGAGTCCATGCTGCAGGTGCCCCTAAACCCAAACCTGAACCTTAGTAGCTGAGTGAGTACGCTTTACGCTTTTTGGAATATTAGAATCCCCTACAGAACTGAAAGTGTACACTTTTTTGGGAGGCTTATGAACTCCCTAAACCCCTAAACCCTAAACTTCAAACCCTAAACCCTAAATCCTAAACCTTAAACCCTAAAGGGCGTATGAACTCAGCAACTAAGGAACAATGGCAAGCCGCTCTACATGGCGGCTTGCCATGGCCACGTTGACGTCGTGCGTTCCTTGGGCGTTCTGAAGGTTTATGGTTTAGGGTTTAGGGTTTAGGGTTCAGGGTTCAGGGTTTAGGGTTTAGGGTTAGGGGTTCAGGGTTTAGGGTTTAGGGTTAGGGGTTCAGGGTTTAGGGTTTAGGGTTTAGGGTTTAGGAGGAACCTTCAGCTTTTTCGGTCACGCCTATCAACCAGGAGGTTAGTTCCTACACAGCTGTAGTAGTACAGGTAGAGTACATCCCGACTAAGGACTGTCCGTATACGGGGGAAACATCCCAAACCCTAAGCCCTAAACCCGAAACCCTACACCCTCAACCCTCAACCCTCAACCCTCAACCCTCAACCCTCAACCCTCAACCCTCAACCCTAAACCCTAAACCCTAAACCCTAAACCCTACACCCAGTATAAGGGGGAACATCCTAACTCACAGGTTTGCTGGTGGAGGCCGGTGCCGACAAGAACGCTGCCGACCACCTCGGCTGCACGGCCCTGATCCCTGGAGACCAAATGAACCCCCAAATTTGGGGGGTTTAGGGTTTAGGGTTTAGGGTTTAGGGTTTAGGGTGTAGGGGTTAGGGTTTAGGGTTTAGGGTTTAGGGTTTAGGGTTTAGGGTTTAGGGTTTAGGGGTCACATAGCCCAAGACTACCTACCAGTTCCCATCGAGGGTCGTATGAACCATCAGCCCTCTTTACGGCTCATTTGGCCCCCAAGGATGATCGCAGCTGAGCGTGGCCATGCTGAAGTCGTGCGATTCCTGGTGGAGGCCTAAGGTTTAGGGTTTAGGGTTTAGGGTTTAGGGTTTAGGGTTTAGGGTTACTCCTGCGTCTGGAGGCCGATGCTGACAAGGACTTAGCCGACCACAAGGGCAACACGGCCCTCATGCGCCTCGTTGACCAACTTGAGGCCTCAAGTTGGGGGCATCCTGTACGCTAGATGGAGGTTTAGGTTTGGAGGTTTAGGGTTTAGGGTTTAGGGTTTAGGGTTTAAGGGTTTAAGGGCTGAAGGGTTTAAGGGTTTAAGGGTTTAAGGGTTTAAGGGTTTAAGGGTTTAAGGGTTTAAGGGTTTAAGGGTTTAAGGGTTTAGGGTTTAGGGTGTATTCCTGTCCCCCCCCCCCCCCCCAAGTAGAGCAGAATTCCCGTTAAAAGGACTCCCGTAGGGGAGGCTATCCTCCAGGCCCCCATTCGGATGCCCAAACCATCTGAGGGTGCCTCTTTGCCCAGGTGCGCAGTTATTACCCTTAAACCCTTGACCCCTTAAACCCTTAAAACCCTTAAACCCTTAAACCCTAAACCCCAAACCCTAAACCCCAAACCCAAAACCCTAAACCCTATGAGGAGGCCCAAACCCATGATAGGGCTTCCCCTTGTTTTGCCCAGGTCCGCAGTTCAAATGCGCCATCTTGAAGTTGTCCGCTATCTTCTGGAGGCTAGGATGCCCAGTACTACTTTGTCATAGTTGGGCAACATTTTGCAGTTTTTAAGGGTAGTTAAACTCAACAAGGAATAGTTTTTAAATTTTTATTACTATCCCAACCATGAACCAGATTACCCCTCTTCCCTTTTTGGGGGCTTTAGGTTCCCTTGCTAGCCCCCAAGAAACTCAAAAGAATAAAAAATGAGAATCCCTACATTACCCTTAATAAGGAAGAATCTCTATATTTTTTTCGGGGTTCTTAAGCAATTAGTAGCTTAAGCAAGAAAGAGGGCACCCCCAATCCAAGGAGGCCGGCGCCAACAAGGATGCGGTCGACAACGGCGGGAGCACGGCCCTGGTCTTCGCAGCTGATCGAGGTCACCTTGCCATCGTGCGTCTGCTGACGGGGGCCCTTGGGAGATTTTCGTATGTTCCCTTATTGGGTTTTTAAGAGGGTTAGAATTAGGCCCGCTTAGTGGGTTTAAGAGGGTTAGAATTGGGTCCCTTCTTGGGTTTAAGAGACCCTAAACCCTAACCCCTAAACCCGAATCCCTAAACCCTAAACCCAAAACCCTAAGCCCTAAACCCTAAACCCTAAACCCTAAACCCTATACCCAAAACCCTAAACCCTAAACCCTAAACCCTAAACCCTAAACCCTAAACCCTAAACCCTAGACCCTAGACCCTAAACCCTAAACCCTAAGCCCGAAACCCTAAACCCTAAACCCTAAACCCGAAACCCTAGACCCTAAACCCTAGACCCTAGACCCTAAACCCTAAACCCTAAACCCTAAACCCTAAACCCTAAACCCTAAACCCTAAACCCTAAACCCTAGACCCTAGGTTTGCTCGTGGAAGCCGGTGCCGACAAGGACTCGGCCATGAACAAGAAGTACACAGCCCTGACGATTGCAGCGGAAATGGCCCAGGCTCCTAGGCTTATGGGGTTTAGGGTTTAGGGTTCAGGGTTTGGGGTTTCTAGGTAGGCCCGTTTGGGACATTTTGTGATATCTTCCCCTGCTGGGTTTAAGTAAGGAATCATCTTCCAGGAATATATTTTTCACCCTAAACCCTAAACCCTAAACCCTAAACCCTAAACCCTAAACCCTAAACCCTAAACCCTAAACCCTAAACCCTAAACCCTAAAGCCAGAGGTGTTTTAAGGCGCCATCCGAGGTTCAGGTCGTGCGGTTCTTGCTGGAGGCGGGTGCCAACCGGGACGCGGCCGACGAAGACGCTTACTGTTGCTTCGTAGGGAATGAGGGACATGAGGAACTCAATGTAATCCCTTAAAGGGTATACGTAGGTACTCTATATAATCCCTTAAAGGGTATATATATATATATATATTATGTTTTAATAGGGGGATATAGAGTACATGATTCCTTTGTGGTGCTTTACTGTAACTTTACATCTTTAGCCTTTTTGGGTTTAGTGGGTTTCTTAAGAAGGCAGCTAAAAATCTAAATTTATAGCTACCCTGCTAAGAACAGCCAAGATTCCCTCATTCCCTACTAACCAGCAGCATAAGGATGGCGACACGGCCCTGATGGTCGCGGCTCGCGAGGGCCACGTCGAGGTCGCCGGGGCTCTTCTCGAGGCCTCGGCTGCCCAGGACTTGGCAACTCGGCAGCCTGGGTGGTGTCCTCTACGTTTTATTTTTTGGGGGGGTTTCAGGGTTCTCTTATTTTTTGGGGTTTACTTTATTTTTGGGGTTTCAGGGTTCTCTTATTATTTTTTAAGGTAACCAACCAAAAAGAGTGGTACCCTTAGTGTAATCTGGTTGCTGGGCTACTAAGGCAAACAGCGATGGCTACACAGCCCTGATGTTTGCAGCTGACTGGGGCAACGTTGAAGTCGCGGGATTGCTGCTGGATGCCGGTGCTAACAAGGAAACAGCCGACAACAACGGGTACACAGCCCTCATGCTGGCAGCTCGCGAAGGCCACTTTGCAGTCGCACAAATGCTGGTGCAGGCTGGGAGCAACAAGGACGCAGCCTCCAACCTCGGCTGGACTTCCCTGATGATTGCATCGCGCCAAGGCCACGTGGGCGTCGTGAGCTTGCTGGTAGACGCTGGTGCCAAAACAGACTTGGTCAACACTGATGGCCAGACAGCCTTAATGCTCGCAGCCCGCGACGGCCAAGCTGAAGTGGTGCGTCTGCTGACAGAAGGTTGAGGAATAAAGACGCAAGGACCCCTAGAAGGGACCCTGAATCTTGTTCCTCCCCCCTAAAAAACCTAAGTAGCCCTCTAAATAACCCCCAAATAACCCCTAAGGTCCCTTGCAAGGGGTCCCTCCTCTCGTCCCTTGAGAAGGCACTGCAGGCTTGTCCCCGCCCTAAACCCTAAACCCTAAACCCTAAACCCTAAACCCTAAACCCTAAACCCTAAACCCTAAACCCTAAACCCCAAACCCTAAACCCTAAACTCTACACCCTAAACCCTACAGAGTTTAGGGTTTAGGGTTTAGGGTGGTTTTGTGTCTTGGGCTCAGGGCCATTTGGGCAAGCTGGGTGAAACCCTAAGCCCTGCCCCCGACCTAAACTCCTCCCCTTCCCACCCCACCCAACCTCTCGAGCCTCAAAATGCCCAGCACAAACTGCCTGCGACTACGATTACGAGCCCCCCTCTCGCCCCGACAAAATGTAAACAGTGGGTTCTTAAGGGAGGGGGGTTCGACGGTGGTGTGTAACCCAAGGTTCCCGATACTCACTCAGGCTCCCTAGGCTTCCCTAAAGTTCCCTAGGTCCGCCATGAACCCCCTCCCTGAAGAACCCTATAACAATGTAAACGGTGGGTTCAAGTCTCACCATAACTTGAGGGTCTAGGTCGTGCAATAGTGGCTGTGCCTAGGACCCAGAAGAGGCTCTTGTTGTTGTTATTACGAATATATTCTTCTTCTTCTAACTATTATTACTATTTTTATGGTTATTATGTATTAATATTGTTATATATGTACACATATCTTTTTCTTGAGGGGGGGTAGTTTTATTGGTAAAGCTCTTTGTTCCTAGGTTACTCTTGTGCCGAGTCTCTTCATATTGCCAGTATAAGGAAGAATACTTTCCCCTAAGCCCTAAATCCTAAACCCTAAACCCTAAATTTAAGAGCCTCCGGCTCAAGCCGCCGACCCCGCTGGAGCATAGTTGAGAGGTCTAAACCCGCTCGTATCATCCCAGCCTGCTCTGTGAAACGTTTGCGGGGGGGGTAGGGGGTAGCACCAGGACAAGCTCAAGCCAAAAAGACAGGTGGGTGGGGGTGGGGGGGGGGGGGGGGGGGGGGGGGGGTAGGGGGGGAGGGGGGGTGGTGGGGGGGGTGGGGGGGTGCCGAAAAACGCTGATTTTGCTGAGGGCGCCCCTACCCCCCTGTGCTGAACCGCCTGTTTACGCTGTGCGGGTGGCGCGGTCCTCCACGAAAAAATTGTGCACCGACCCCCCCTCCCCCCCCGCGTTTTGGGGGGGTAAGGAGGAAAGAGGGAGGTTTTCACCTCCTCAAACCCATCCAACACGCCGCCAGGGTCGGCGGACCCTAAACCCTAAACCCTAAACCCTAAACCCTAAACCCTAAACCCTAAACCCTAAACCCTAAACCCTAAACCCTAAACCCTAAACCCTAAACCCTAAACCCTAAACCCTAAACCCTTTGGGGTGGGGGGGCGGGTTCTTATGCAAGCAGTAGTTACCCTTTGTTATTCCTGGGATACTCGAGGGCCTCGGTGTGCGTTGAGGCAGGTTACCGGCCCCCCGAAGCTGCAAAACTTTAGCCCCAGACCCGAAACCCTGAAGCCGCTCAACCCCCTAAAGCCCCTGAACTCCCTAAACTCCCTAAAGTCCCCAAACTCCCTAAACCCCCTAAACTCCCTAAACCCACTAAACCCCCTAAACCCCCTAAACCTCCAAAGCCCCCTAAACTCCTAAACCCTAAACCCTAAACCCTAAACCCTAAACCCTAAACCTAACCCTTAACCCCCAAACGCCCCAAACCCTACGTTCCAGTTAAGCCTTCAACAACCCAGGATCCAGGCATGGAGCCCGCAGGGGCTCTTCATGGTAGAGTTTAGGGTTTAGGGTTTAGGGTTTAGGGTTTAGGGTTTGGGGTTTATAGGGCTTACAGGCTTATAGGCGTATAGGCTTATAGGCTTATAGGCTTATAGGCTTGTAGGCTTATAGGCTTATAGGCTTATAGGCTTATAGGCTTATAGGCTTATAGGCTTATAGGCTTATAGGCTTATAGGCTTATAGACTTATAGGCTTAGTTTAGGGTTTAGGGTTTAGAGGTTGGGAGGCTGTAGGGTGTAGGGCTTTCAGGTTTAGGGCTTTCGGGTCGGGTTTCGGGTTTAACCTCGAAGCCCTCCTTGGCGTGATGGGAGGCAATGCAAGAGATGCTTTGCTATGAGTCCTCCGGCTGCCAGGGAGGAATGAGCTTTAGGGGTTTCGGGGGTGATTAAGGGTTTTAGGGTTTTAGAGTTTTAGGGTTTTAGGGTTTTAGGGCTTTAGGGTTTTAGGGTTTTAGGGTTTTAGGGCTTAGAGTTGAGGGTTTAGGGTTTTTGGGTTTAGGGTGTTAGGGTTTAGGACACCGTCGGCCCTGCCGGAGGCGAGGTCCTAGGCATTGAAAAGGGTGTCTTTTTCATAAGGGCCATACGTAAGGGTCTTGTGATAAGGGTCTTAGAAGGCTATCATAAGGGCCTTATACGGGTCTACCAGGGTTTATAAGGGCTTATAAGGGTTTGTAGGGCTTATAAGGGCTTATAAGGGTTTATAAGGGTTTATAAGGGTTTATAAACGCTTCTAAGGGATGAACAAGGGTTTAGGGTTTAGGGTTTAGGGTTTAGGGTTTGTAAGGGCTTCTGCCACGGCCTTCCTTGAGACGTTGGTCTTGGGAAGGTTGGGGCTTTCCTTCGGCTGTTAACCTATCGGGCACTTGTTTGGGGGGCTTTCGGGTTTGGGGTTTAGGGTTTTGGGCTCCCGGGTTCGGTTTTTTTTTTTCGCCTTTTGGCGTTTGGGGTTTTTCGGGCGGACGTCATTTTAGGTAGTTCTGCTTTGAACTATGGGGTGAAGTGCAGGTGGAGGGTCTGCCCTAGACCGTGGGTTTAGGGTTTGCCGGTTTAAACCCTAAATCCCGAGAGCTAAGCCCGAAACCACCCGGCAGGGTTGTAGACTTCCGACGCGCCACAGTGACCACAGGCGCCTATCTGTTTCAGAGACTCCGGTATGCCATAATCAGGGAACACACCCCGAACCATAATAGGACCCTAAACCCTAAACCCTAAACCCTAAACCCTAAACCCTAATCCCTAAACCCTAAACCCTAAACCCTAAACCCTAAACCCTAAACCCTAAACCCTAAACCCTAAACCCTAAACCCTAAACCCTAAACCCTAAACCCTAAACCCTAAACCCTAAACCCTAAACCCTAAACCCTAAACCCTAAACCCTAAACCTTTTCTTGATGATGGGGCACTGGGGTCTCAGAGTTTTCCATTAGAAGCGCCCCGCTTTGTTGACCAGCCAAGTTTGGGGGAAAAGAAGCTGAGCTCAGTGTGTTTCGGGTTTGCTTGCGGATTTTCGGTTTAGGTTCCCTTATAGACCCCTTTAAGCAAAAAGGGCACCCTTTTTAAGCCTTGGTTACTGGGCAGCCTAGATTATCTATATACGGTCAGTTCTCTAAACTACGGCCCCTTTTCGGGCGCCTCATAATCTAGCAGCTCCAAAAAGTTTCAAAAGGGACCCTAACTTAGAGAATCCCCCCATCTATGGGGATTTTACGAAAATAAGGGACCCCAAATTTTGTCCCAAATTGTAGGATTCCCTTCTTAGAAGGACCCCAGAAGGTACCCCCCTAGTTTCGGAAAAAGCCATGTATGGCTTGCTTGCAGCAGGAGTAGAAAACAGAACACGGCCTGCCAAGATCCTCAGTGCAAAACCTCAAAGCAACCCTGAAACCCTGCGGCTAAGCTTTAGGGTTTAGGGTTTAGGGTTTAGGGTTTAGGGTTTAGGGTTTAGGGTTTAGGGTTTAGGGTTTAGGGTTTAGGGTTTACGGTTTAGGGTTTAGGGTTTAGGGTTTAGGGTTTAGGGTTTAGGGTTTAGGGTTTAGGGTTTAGGGTTTAGAGTTCGGGGTTTAAGGTTTAGGTTTTAGGGTTTAGGGTTTAGGGTTTAGGGTTCTAAACCCACGAACTCGAAGCCCTCGCCCAATGTAGAAGACCATTGTGCTAACCCACACCTGGCATGGCGCCGGGCGCGTGGTGTCCGGCCTGCCTCCAGGCACAGAGTGTTAGGGTGTTAGGGTTCATGGTTTAGAATTTAGGGTATAGGGTTTGGGTTTAGGGTTTAGGGCAACGGGATTGATATCCCCTTTGCCCAAAGTTTTGGCAAAGAGTAAGGCCACCATGATAGTAGTAGTGTAGGGGTCGGAGTAATTGCGACTGATCGTATTCCCTTAGGGTCCATGTTTTTTTTTTACTATAATCATCCCCCCCAAATCCTGTTCTAAGTTGTAAGGGCCCGTACATTGGGCCAACGGTTGCTGCAACAACTCTCCGATTTGTTTAAGCATTGTTCACTATATTGTTGAGTTCAAAAATGTGGGTATTTTGGGCGCTCGCGGTTGGCAAACAGGAGTGTCAGACATGGCGCCAGGCTCTTTTGAGCGTTTGGTGCTGATAGCCACCCTAAGCACTAAAGCCTAAACCCTAAACCCTAAGCCCTCAACCTCAAACAACCTAAACCCAAAGCCTTAGAAGCCGTACCCGCCACCCCAAGTCCTAAAAGCCCGAACCTAGCCTGGACTCCATCCACCCCAAGGTAAACCTTAATTTTAACGCTACGCGACCCGCCGCGGCCCGGCCCAGCGCATCCGCGTGAGCATGGTGATTCCGCAGCGCCCAAGTCGCTGCACCCCAAGCAATGAGGGTTGGGTTTAGGGTTTGTGGTTTGGGGTGCAGGGCTGAGGGTTAGTTTAGGGTTGCGGGGTTTGGGGGTTCACGCTTCACGATTTGGGGGGGTGGGGGCGCGGGGCTGCTGGGCGGGGCTTCAACTCCCCTACCGTACGCTTTCAGATCACCCATTCCAGGCAAAAAAAGGGGGTGCCTGTTCTCGCAACCTACACACCTTCGGCCCGAGGCCTCGGCGGCTTTAAGCCCTAAACCACAAGCCTTGAATCCTAAACCCTAAACCTAAA